CCCCCCGATATTAAAGCTGTCGTCTTAAAGGATGATCCTACCCCGATCCTATTCCGCGTCGCGGCCTTCTCTCTCTCTCTCTTACGAACGTGTCACCCGGAACGTGTACCGGCGTGGCTTCTCTCGAAAGGCAAATCGATGAGGATTATTTTTGCCCGACCGTCTGTGACTGCCTTCGCTCGATCGTCTTTCTCGCGAGTTACGTTTCACGGCTAATTCGCGCTCGCGATTCGTTTCGAGTCGATCGCCCTTGAACGAGTTGGTAAACATAAACCCGGCGACTGACTCCGACCGAACCCTGTAACGTAACTGCTTGGGGGCACGAATCATACATTTACAGTTTTTGTGTTCCACGAACGTCCGCTTCGAACGTTCGGGTCAACAGTGCTCTTCTCCATGGTCGAATAGGTGAAAAGTAACGGTCTAAGATATTCGCCAGAAAATCGACTGATGCATGCTCTCGTTATATTGCAACGACCTATTACGAGTCGGTCGCAGGCTTGATCCACTCGGATTCGTATCGATACGTATCGAGCAAAGTGAACAATGTGAGTCTGCTCTAAATACTCCATGTTTACCTCACAGAAGCAATCAAAAAATAAAAATGAAAGTAAAAATAGAAATACGTGTACTTCTAGGTAATAACAATTGAACAGCATAGCACATCCATTTTGGAATAAATATTTCGAAAGTTGCTCCACCCTTCAGCCCTGTCGCAAGTCCTCGACTTTCTCATTTTGTCGCAGGTTGAAAAAATGAACAACAGTGGATCTAACGTAGTCTCCACGAGAAGTTCGTGAAACGCGATGATTTTGTCCCGTGCCCGAATCTGATAACGAAACGATTAAAGGAGCAGCCGCAAAGGAAGTCGCAAAAAATTTCCGGACACGAAATACATTAATGGCCAGTTGTCACGGGGTATTTCAGTGGAGTCGTGATGGATTGCCCGCAAAAATAAGAAACGAATGCAACCGAGGCGGACTCGAGCATTTGCGACCGCTCCAAATAACGTCGCGATATTAAGTTCTTGGATCAGAGGCACGCGATGGTGTTACTGGTATCCAAAAATCACGTCTGGAGCGCGTATATCTGTCGAAATTAATCATCGCATGCGCGGAATCTCGGTTTCCGTCCTCGTATTGCGCGTGCATCGCGATGGCTAATTGAAAAACCATTGGTCACGACTCGGAGTTGGACAGTAATTGATTATTCTGCGATTAATCAGAATAATCTTCTATTAAAATTAATTCTGTGCCTTTTTCAAAATATTGAATTATTTACAGCATTTTTGCTGTAAATTATTGTGAAAGTTATTGGAACAGGGAGTATTATCATACGAGATAATTATCATACAAAAAGCATGAGTTTTAGCGTTAATAGAGATCTAATATTTCAAAATATTCAGGTATTTAACGTAGGCCTTCTTCACAATACGAAAATAATATTTTCCTTTTTAATTGTTAATTTAATTGTCACAATACACAAAGTAGTATTATATACAAGTACTAGCTGCATCCCGCAGTTTCACCTGCGTAGAATACCAACGTTGCAACCCCTTTTTACTTCCTTAGGGGTTGACTATTCGAAATATCCTTTCTTATTTCCTGTATATACCAGAAAGAAAACCTCTGTGCAAAATTTCAGCTTTCTAGGTTCAAGGGTTTAGCCTCGACGTTGATTATAATCAGTCAGAGCTTCATTCTTATATATATATAGATGATTTTGTGAGGAAAAAATGAATCCAAAATAAGCAACAGAGTTTTTTAATTTAAGCTTTCAATCGTGAGAAAATTGGTCTTGAATCTCCTTGGAGCACGTGTACGACTTGACCAGCGTGTCTGACCATTACTCGGCATTTCTACTTATGTTACTAATTTATATTGCTTCTGTTATGTTGTTGTCCATTTCGATTAGTTGTAATCATTTAAAAAATTGCAGTTCGCATAGAAGAGATATGGTACATTAGACAATCCCAGAATCAGTAGAACTGCCCAGTCGTTGTCAGACATGGTTTTCGATTTATTTCTACGGAAACGAAGCTTCTTATAGATTGCATCTGATAATACATAATAAAATTATAAAACATATAGAATCATACGTTATTTCTTGAATTTCCACATTCGAATTAAATTATGAATTCTGATATAATGCATACAAAGTTCTCGATTAGTTGTGTCACGCGCAAATCATCATTATTAATTACTCGTTGATCCTAATGACAAATTACTCGCCCGATTATCCGTTAATCATAATTACCACCGGTTAATCGAATTACCGTTTGTCGAACATTTCGATTACTGAAATATAATCGCACGGTTAAATGTACCGAATCGCCCAAGTACCTGCAATTCTATTTTTCATGACTTGTCACGGCTGGCTTTCCAATGTTGACTCTAGTTGGCAGCCATTATCATACACGACGACCCTCTTGGCACCCATTATCATAGATTCGGCCAGTAAAACCGAGTCAAAGTCATCGCGAATGTGAATCCATCGCGTACAGTACTAGAAACTCGAAATTATTCGACGTTCAACGCTGAAAGGGAGGAAGGGTAAAGCGTTGCGTTTTTTGATGAAATCGGGCAACACGAAGCGATGGACAATTTCGAATTGACTACGCAGAAATTTCGTCGCGGTGAAAATTGTTGGCGAGGGGACGAGTGACTTTTTCAGGATCAATGGTTGATATCGCAGTTCGATTGTTCGATCATTCCAATTACATTCAACAACCCCTTTTGCGGCGCGTGACCCATAACGAGGGATCGAAAACGTTGTAGAAAAAAATACCAACGCGAAAACCTCTGTGCCATCCGTTTTTTTTTTTCGTACCCGCCGACAGAACGCACGGAAAGCAATTAAACTGAATAAATTCAATGCGTGTTTAACCACCGTAAACAGTGCGACACGTTCCAACAACTATACAAGCTGACTCGTCCGACTGGAACAAGTCATATCTTTTTAAATGCGGACAGGGAGGGAGCGCGAAATAGAGGGAAAAAATTGTACAATCCAGGAAGATATAATTTCGCTATGTTGCACTTTGAACTGTGCATTTGCTGATTCAATTGTTGGAACGAAATGGGTATGGTTGAATTCCTGGTAATTTTTTTTTAAATACGTTGCAGGTTTGCACGTATGAGAGGATTATTGAATTAACAAAAAAGGTCCTTTTACAACATTAATTGGTTGACAACGCGTGGATTCCGGTGGCATAGGTTGGTATGCCAGAGAATAAAACAAACGTTTGATATCAGTGGAATACAAATAATGGAGGTGGAAATAAGCTGGTTTAAGGGAATGATTTTTAAATATAAAAGGCTCGTTAAAACGGGTGCACGAGCGATTGGAAAACGCATGTTCTAATTAAAACTGTATGACGGAGATAAGGGGAGTAAGATACTCGTTGATGTTGTTTTATATATCATTGAGTTTATCCTTTTATCTAACAGCGAGTTATAAAGTGGACTTACATAGCTATCAAAATAAATATTTGCTTACTATGGTACGGAGAAATACTTGAATTCCATCGATGATAATGAACTTGGTTTTGGACTGTTACGATTTTTCATGGTAGGATTAATAGCATGTTTCACATGCAATTTATGAAATATCTAGTCTTTTTAGAAATGAACCTATACCATTATCAGAATAAATATTTCTTAGATGGACTCACACTACAATCAAAATAAATACTTGCTTATTCTGGCAAGTAGAAAAAGCTTCAACCCCATTCATGATAATTAAACTGCAGACTTCATGCATTTACGATACGAATGAATATGACAAATATATGCTAAATATAACTAAATAAATGTATGCATGTTTGCAAAACAAAGTATTGATATTATAACATTAATTAACAGAATAGATTCTACATGCATTATGTATGTATATATATTTTGCGTCTGTTTTCCATATCAATGTACTTTATAAATGCATAAAATCCGCAGTGGAGTGATAATCAATTTTATTTTTATCAATTACAATATTTCATAATAGGATTTAACCCCCTACCTAAAATCGTCACAAACTTCTCAAACACCCGATACATTAGTTTGTAATAATGTCCCCCCGTAATTCGACGTCCCCCTCGATAGTTGTCAACATGTTCCAACTGTCCTACATTTGTAGATCGAATGATCGATAGCGAGTTTCGTGTGCCCGAGGGCAAACGTTTCCCTAATGGCATCGATTAGCCTGAGCACACTTTCGATTGTTTCGTCGACGAATCCCTGACGACTTTCCTAATCGGTCTGAACTTCCTTCGCCGTGGAACAACGTCGCTCCTCCGCCGGGAATCGAGTGGAAGCCGATAATTCACAAAGGCGCACCATCTACTTGGAATTTCGTCGTTCCTCCGCGCCCTTTCATTCCCCCTTGCGCCAACCCCCTTCACCAACAGCCAACCCTCGTACACTTCGACTTCGCGATTCACCTCGGAGACAGTTACTCTCCCTTTGAGGAAAACAAACCTAATTTCCGGGCCGCGCAGTTGCATTCGCGAAAATCGATTTCATGCCGAAATTTCAGACGAGAAAGCTTCAGATAAGCGAACACGAGGTAGATGGGCTTCGTTCCGCGATGGGAGGGGGGGGGGGGGGGGGGGGGGGGAATTTGTATCTAGATCAGGAAGACGCAGGCGTATTCGAAGTGTGTTCTTTAAACATTTCAAACTTTCGGGTCTTCTGCAATGGTATCGTGTTCGTACTTTCAGCCGAGATTCGCCAGTAGGTATTTTATTATTTCAGTATGAAGTTACGTGTAAAAGTGTGTCATTACCTTGAAAAAAAAATATTTCTTTCGGGTTATTTCAGACGATAGTCTTAAAGTCGTTGGAGATGAGCCAACCTTAAGGGTTGATATCGTAAATCGCCAGCTAATGATCCGAAAGTTTGTAAAAGTAAGAGTCAAGATGTCGTATTTCTTTAATAAATGATGAGTAGACTGTTGGTATTTATTCAAATTTATATTCTCACAGATAAA